ACCGATTATAAAGGCTTGCACACATTGAGTTCGTATGAAATTTGGAATTTCTTTTAATGAGTTCCCGATCCACATGGTCTTAAACGGTTAATCCGTGTTAATCATCTCATATTGAAATATATTATGGTATTAAAACGGAAAGGCACGATAAACTTGCAGAAGAAACAGTTGGGACATTGAACAAGCAGTGAGAGATTCCATTGCAAAGAGGTCAAGTTAACGAATTCCCATGTACCCTATGTTTCCCAATTCATGTAAAACAAGTATGTTGACTTTCTTTTGTCTAGAGAAGTAAACGGAAATTGTACAACAAAATTTAGTATATATATTTTATAAGTTTTCTAGCTGACCCGGCAGACTTCGTAGTGCTTCAATAGATAATTAAAAGACCTAAACTTTTGTTTAAAATAAACTAAAACAAACAAAAGGAATCCGTCCGACGGGGGACACATCAAAGGAAAAACAAAATTGTTATTTTTATTGAATTCCGAGCATTTTCATATTTATCTACCTTTTAAACCTTCTCTGGACTTCCACAAATAATTCAAGAGAAAAATTTGCCAAATCGGTCCAGCCGTTCTCGAGTTTTAGCGAGACTAACGAATAGCAATTCATTTTTATATATAGAGAAGAAGAAGATAGATATAGAAGAAGATATGGGCGAACGATCTCTTGGCCCAGCTAATGTCAAACTGTTGCCGGACCCCACCCAAATTGTGGCATGAAGTCGAAGTTCCACTTACATTGGAACGTTGGTCGGACCGTCACGCGCGTTTTCTTCGGAGGAGTATAAATACAAGATGGAAATACTATCATTAGATTATTCCACGTAAAACACAGAATCATTAACCATGTCTACAAAAATCAATACTTTCTCACCGAAAGACAATATCCTGTAGCGTATAACAATTAAAAAAACGGTACAATCGATTAAGTCAATCAGTAACACCAGTAATGACACCATTAACGCGTCCCCCGGTATATCGATCGTAGGGTCGAGTAAACTTAGCCGAGGTCTAGTCAGGGTCGTAATTCGCTTTGAGGTCAGCTAAAGAATTCTCACTTCAGTGACGTGCCAGACACTTGAACAAATAAAACGTATTATAGCATCTGCCAGTTTTGTGTGCATTTAGAATGTAAATATATCAATTGACTTTTTACATGTCTTATTTCATACGCAAATACGAACTATACTTTTTTATCATGTCTCTGATATGAATACTTTTTTAAGTTTTAAAAAAAATTATATAGTTTTGATATCGAAGTAATAACAGCATGCCTATTATTATTATTATGTTGACTGAATTAATAAGTAGCAACTCTAATATTATAATATTTTGTGCCATGTGTATTTTTGCCGTGAAGCAGTAATCCGTTTCGGTTTGAAGGGTGGCGTAGCCGTTGTAACTATACTAAGACTTTAGAACTTATATCTCAAGGTGGATGGCGGCATTTACGTTACAGATGTCTACCGTAACCGAACTGAGCTCCAGTAACCACTTAACACCAGGTGGGCTGTGAGCTCGTCCACCCATCTAACCAATAAAAAAAATTAAAAAAAATTGCCTTCTACGTCAAATACCAGCGGTTGGCCTAAGAGGCTCTCAATAGCCTACACATTGCGACCTTTCATTTGAGTCGACTATTATCAAAGGCGGCAATCTGACTTTTGGACAATGATTGGTAAATCAGAAAAACGAATTATTGATTTTGTATTCCATTGGCAGTCACAAAACTCTTCGGAACGACATCTTAGATAAATAACAGGTTAACTATTAACCTTTATTTAATGCAGGTTTTGAACCGTATTCTTTGAAGGAGACGATTATATTCAAATAAATCTGTATTAACATATCAATAAAAATGTTTTGTCCAAATGCACAGATTGCCACCTTTGATAATAGACGACTCATTTATACTTAACAAAATGGGAATTTAATAATAATAAACGGTTACATCAAACAGATTAAAACTACTATTATCGGAAATAGATTATTTCAATTTCACTCAATGGATTTGTTACATTTACATTTCATTTATTAACATACCTTCTTTCACATTTCGACAAGCAATTGGGCGATTACGTAACAAATCATACGAGTAATGTAAAATCATTCGTTTATGGGTAACATACAAAACCAATTTGACTATAAAATTTGTAATTGTACTGCTGTGCCCACGCGATAATGTAACAATGGTATAAATCAAACAGGTTACTCTGTCACTAAAACGTTTGTTGCCCTACAGTTCTATTGTGACGGGTTCTTAACCTCACCGAAATTTAAAAATTAAATCTATATTTGTATTGCTTTGCGTGAGCCGAATTTTTATTACCCTTTGCGCTTCGGCTGCTTTTCTGTTTTACATACAATTTCTGGCATATTTATTTTAATTTTCTTTCCGTTCTATATCAAAAGCGCAGTTAAATTCGCCCGGATAATCATACTATACCTACACAGACACAAGTAGCGCTCGTGTCATACGAGGTAGTTATTTCAATTTTGTTCACTTCTTTTATGTAATATAATAATATATACAGAATAATATGTACTTAATTTCACTTTGATATTAACTTGCTAACCTTTCCTATCCTTCAGCCAACAGACGTTCACTGCTAGAAATACACCACACGACACAGGCCACAGGATATGGCTTCCTCTAAGCCTGGCCACAACGCCCTCAAGCACCGGTCACCGTCCTCATCGAAGCCGTCCATTACGACGAAGGGCTCGACGAGCGAATTAACCATAGACACAGCCCACTGTTTTTCTCGCGGGATCTTCTCAGTGGGTCGCGATTCCGATTCGGTGGTAGATTCTGCGAAGCTCTTGCTAGGGCTAGTGTCAGGAAATTCTCTCAAGTTGAGCCCGTGAGCTCACCTACCCGTCCGGGCGTAGCTTGTATAGCCCCTTAGGTTATCAACGAATAGGTACGGAAAAAAGCCACAACGACCGGTTCTGCGCTGCCATCATCCAGTGGATTCCCGCGAACTAGGTAGGCAGCGGCTTGGCTCTGCCCCTGGAATTGCTGAAGTCCATGGGCGACGGTAACCACTCACCATCAGGTGGGCCGTATGCTCGTCTGCCTACAAGGGCAATAAAAAAAAAAAAAAAAAAACTATTTACTTAAGACTCATTATTTGACAACAAATTTTACAATAAAATGTATTTGAAAATTTTGTTATGTTTTAGCCATATCCACATAAATAATATAAGAATTCATGTTCATTTTGTATTGAAGAAAAAAAGTCAAAAATATCTAAAATTTCTACTACTAGTCAACAAAAGAGGTGTCTCTATAACGATTTTTCCCGCGGAAAGACCTACTAATAACCGCATTCATCACGCGTCTTTTTCATACGCGCCCTTGACATTGATTTATGCAAATATCAATACAAAGTTAATGAATGCATTAGTCACAAACTCAGGTTGATAAAATTCATGGCCTATAATAATGTTAGTGGGCGATTTGAGAATGTATATAAATCTTTGTATTGTCATTAGGGATGCATGAAGTCATAATACTGAGTGATGTATGACTTTGGTATGATTTTGCGGGTAAACCGTCGTAGTAAGATTAAGAAATGGAATATATAAACAGGTAACCGTACTCGTCGAACTCGACAAAGAGGTCGACGTGCAACCTAACCCATGCATCAGCCCGCTGAGTTTCTCGCCGGATCTTCTCAGCGGGTCGCGATTTCGATCCGGTAGTAGATTCATTCGCGAAGCAATTGCTATTGAGTTGTTAGGTCTCCTTCGGAGACGCTCGGGCAGTTGTTAGCAAATCCCACCCCTCCTGGCTGAGCCTTTGCTCGCCCACCTGTCCTGGTGAAACTGGAAAGGCCTTCGGGCACCAGTAATCTTTCAATCATAGAAAAAAAAGGAATATAAAAAAACTCGACCGAGTCTCCACATTACGTAAATTGAATTAAGTTCAATTTAATCTATTAATGGTAAAAGTTTGCATGTTTGGTGCTTAGACCTGTCTGTCATGGAAACATTATTCCAAACTTCGAAATTTTAGAATCAATACTCTCTGCATCACGTCAATCCAAATTACTCGCATTAGCGCGGGAATTTGTGACCCACATACAGATTTACGGTCAACTAAGCACAAATTGTAAAGTTTCATTGTGCTGTTTCCTTTAATAGTAATACAATTTAATGACAATCCATGGTCAATATTTTGTTCAATTTATTCATATAAAATAAAAAAACCAAGAGTTAATATTAATACCACATCAAGTAGTCTAGACATTGTAGGATTGTCTAGAGTACTTTTTTAATCTTATAAAATAGCTTTCTTCCGGTGAGGCTCATGGAGGATTGGTAAAGATGAAAAAGCTGCTACTTTCCTCTAGCACTGTCTGATACGCCATGAATAATTACATTATGTAAAATATTATTGAATTATTAATTAAAAAATCTATATGTATATACCAATGTATTTTGGGAGAGTAATGATAATTTAGGTAAAGAAAACGATAGTGAATCACATATCTGTTAGGAAGTCACATATAAACAATATATTTCCAAAGCAGAGTACTATGACCCTAGTCAGTGCATACTTATTTTTAATTTTATTGCTGCTAATAACATGTAATGTTCAGTATTTTCATTTTGGCTTTAAGAAACAAATACAATTCCATTCATAATTTATTCGTTTTTGAGATCTTTAGTAGTTTTATTTAAAGGATATTTAATATTATTCACCTAGCATACTCTTAAAATTGGATTTTAACAATGAAAAAATGTAGACTAACATTAATTGTGGCTTTCGTCCACACTACAACAACAGAATTCGCTCCTCAATCACTTCTCTTTGCCCAACTCTTAAATTTTTACTACAATAGATCCTTACCTAACGACAACAAATTTCCTTTAACTTCCTGCTAATATTCCGCCACAAAAAATTAATGTGTTGAGATCAAAGGATTGCGATTCTTAATCCTATACAATCCTCACAGCTAGTATTTTTATTTATTCTTAATCACTTACCTGCTCTTTCAATACATTGTTCTGCACTGGAGCTCCATTAGAATCTCCCATTCTTGGTTCAGACTCACTATCAACTTCAAATATTTCTTGAAATAAATCAAGATCTTCTGGAACGTTGGCTTCAATATTGGCTTCTGGTCGAATAGAAAGTTCCTGGCTCACCAACTGACCGTGACTTACACGGAGAGAGCTTTGTAATGTTTCTGCTATGGCCTACAATAATGATAAAAATTACATATAGTATCATTAAATTATTTTCATTATTTTATTTTTAATAATTACGAGTACAGGTTTTGTTGCCAACAGTTTGTAGACCTGGTGTTGTATGCTTTTATGGCATTCACAATGAGTTTATTTTATTCTGTAGTAAAAGAAGAACAAAGGTCAGTATCAACTTTTATCACTCCACTTTTTTTCCTACTTGTCGCTGGTAGCCTAAGGGGCAATTCCAGCTACACCCTGAAGAGTAGGAGCTCATGGGCTTAATCTGAGAGAATTTGCTAACACTAGCCCTAGAAAGAGCAGTGCTTCGTGGAATCTACTACCGAATTGAGAGCCACTGAGAAGAACCTGCGAGAAACTCCAGGCATCTATGGGTTAGTTCACTTGTCAAACTCTACGTCGTAATTAACGAGTTCGACAAGAACGGTGACTGGTGCTTAAGAGATCGACCAGGAGATCCGACAGAACATGTTTCGGGCGACGGCAGCTTAGCATTGCCCCATCACAGTTGAATAAGACCACTTATACTGAATGATTTTCTCAGAATTAAATATCCTTATTTGTTTTAGAAAGGTCATTGAGAAGATTATCATATAAGATATCCAGACCTTGAATGTGAATATTTACAGCAACTTAGTAATAAATTATTATTCTTTATTAATTTTATTTCTGGAAACCAAAAAAAATATATTTAAATCTTCTTTGATATTGTATATTGCTAGTGTATTTCTTAATAACTTATTATAATTAACGTATTGTAATGTTTGTAAATTAAAAAATATATGTACTTCAATTAAATTTATTATTTTTTTTCATATTTCATATTACTCTTATATATATGGTTTATTGATGAAATAATAATTAAAACAATTTATATTCTTCAAAACAGTATTAAAAAAATTTATGATCTCATTTCTATCATTAGAGTACAATTAAACAAAATGAACTAACGATTAGCATTTATTACTCTGAATTTAAAAAAAAAATGTTTTGCACTTACGTCGCTCAAAATGTCCTCCAAATCGCAAGACACATTCGTACAAAGCACAGGTGAGGAACTTTGCGACCGTGAACGAACGGTAGAATAAACATCTACTGAATGCGAGACTTGTCTTGTCTGATATTCATTGAACTCCATTACTGCACGCTGTTGGGAAACATTATAAAACCGCTAATGAAACAAACACTAACACCGTCTTTGAACATCAATAGCAGCGTACGTAAGAATCTCATTCATACCCATGGACGATTAGGTTCTCTTGCGAGAACAAAGCATTGTAGTTTTAAACAGACATACACTATATTTCCGAAATTTCTTTAAATTCTTCAGCCGTAAGACGCAAGTTATATTTTTCCAATTTTGATTTTTGATGGCTTGATTTCGAATTTGATTTGCTTGACTTTGACTTGACGCCTGACGGTTGACGCTTTTCACAGATTGAAATAGTATAAAATTGTATGTAATCTATGCCACCGATTAATTTTTAGTGCCACTGATTTATCTTTAGTGAAATACGCAAATGAAAGATGTTTACGATTGACTTCCACGGTGAAGGAATACTCGTAACATTGTGTAATAAAAATTAAATCCGCAAAATTATAATTTGCGTAATTACAGGTGATAGGACCTCTTGTTACTCCGCATGGGTAGGTACCACCGTCCTGCTTATTTCATCAGTGAATCTATAATGCGTTTCGGTTCGAAGAGTGGGGCAGCCGTCATAACTAAACTGAGACCTTAGAACTCATATCTCAAGGTGGAGGGCGGCAATTGCGTTAAAGATATCTATGGGCTCCGGTAATCACTTAACAGCAGGAGGGCTGTGAGCTCGTCCACGCAATAAAAAAAATGCATGTTTCATTTAGCTATTATAATAAATGTATCAAAAAAAAATACAAAATAAATCCTAATAACATAACTTACCTACAATTAGAAGTCAAATTATCACTGTCATGTTGGACAATTGTCAAATCCTAGTATAATCTATGTTGTCAAATACCAAGCGCTATCAACATCAACCGTTTATAAATTTGAATGTTGTGGAATTGTGATCTAAAGTTTATCTTTAGAAACTTTGAAACTGAAGTGAAATTTCATGAAAAAATAAAGACTATGGAAAATTCCATCAGTGAAAATGAAATACAACAATCGTTTCGCTCGCCACCACGACGGAGACGATCTACCTTCTTTGAGAGAAGGGAATCTATGGGTTTGTATTTATACTTACCGTTGCACCCTGTAGTGTCTAATAATTAGTTATTAAGTATATTTATTAAGTTATAATATACGATGCTTGTGTTTTAGCGCCACAAGCTCTAACAGAAAACTTGGAAACGATATCGTGCAAGAAAGATAGTTTGGAATCACTACGTACTCAGAACTTGAACAGGTAAACAATAACAATGAAGTCTTATGAATATTAATAATTCATTAAATTGCAGTGGTTATATCTTACTATCTATTTACAGTTACTACGAAAAACTGTTACTTGAAAAAGATCAGTGGAAAAAAGAGGTGAATGACAGGCGAAATAAATATCACGACTTAAGACAGTAAGCATTGACAATAAAGTAATGTTGCTAATTCCAAGCAATTCGATCGACTAAATACCCGTATGCTCTTTCATTTTTCAGGCAATTCCAAATCACTGTTAAGGCTCCTAGTAGATCCATCATGTCATACTCAGCCCTATCAAATGATGACATAGAATTTCTCAAAGCCAAACCCAACTTAAGTAAATTAATTGAAGCACAACAAAAACTTCACAAATCTGTCAAAGAAGTTATGGCACTTGTACATAGAACACAAGAACTTGATGATATTGTTCTTAGAAACAGTGAAGAAAAAGTAACCCAGATCACAGAATACATATTAGAAAATAGTACAGTAGAACCCTTAAGTCATTGACATTGCAAGAAGTTCACAATTAGATATTGTAGAATACCACTTCCAGAAACAGGTTTTGCTTGTTTTACCTTTTATTGGTATAATGTTAAAAAGTAAAATGTAAATGTTTTTTATTTACTAATTCTTTAAAATTGCCGTTGCTTTGGTTCTAATTAACAGAATTCTTAGAATGTATATTGATGAGTAAGGGAGAGAGATAGTATTTATTGTTTACCTAAATTATAATATTAATCAGTAATTTAACAGAAAAAAAACATCCGTTATATTATTTTTATCAGACTTGATGTTTGATAAATACTTTAATAATGGTTAGTGTATTGCTGTTCTTGATTCCCTATACTTTATCTTGGATCATGCCTACTACTGTACAAAATTGAATATCCAAAGTGTTTTAAGAATGTTATGGATTAATTCCACTAAATTGACTGTAAGAATGCATAGAAGCATATTATTGGTTCTGATGGCTATCTTAATAGAAGTTGAACTTATTAGTAGAAGAATGTAAAATCTCAGTCAGAGATAGCAGAGTCAAAAGTTTGGGACTATAATTTAAACTAGAATGACAAAAATTTAAATTATTTATGTGCAGTATATAAATGAAATCATAATGCAATTATTTGAATGTCTAATTTTTAATTGACCGTCAAGAAATTTTGCAAACACAGTCATAGTCAGGGGCATGGAATAAAAAGAAGAAAATAATCTAAGCTTTTGGCTCTTAAATTGAGGTTTTTGTGGAATGTTTAAGTTATATTATAATAAGCGTATAATGGAATAATTGCTCGACGTTATCCTGTCTCCATTTTATCATTATACTGCTTGCCCATAGAGCAGAGTTTATCCATATTAACACCAACCAACCACTGCATTCATCGACCGATTAGTTCTATAGCTTATTGTAGCAGATATCTAGCACCGTAACAGTAATGAACTTCCCTGTACAGTTTCCTGATCCTCTATGACATGCTAGTCTTTAAATGATATTTGAGGAGACCTCGAGGATAGGCAGCAGCATGGCTGTGTTCTTGGTATTGATATGTCAATAAGCTATGATGACTACTTACAAAATTTACGACTCAAAAAATCTTAGAAACGTATGGTCATATGTTTTTATTAGTAACAAGTAGATGGTCCACCGGAAGAAGAGTGATTACCATTGATCATGTATGTCAGAGAAAACCAGAGTCAGAGCATAGCCGCTCTCTACTGATATAATAGAATAATAGGTTATAACATTGTGTAAATAGTATTAAATTTCAATTGTACATAGCTTGTTCATTGCCAATAAACAAATTTATACAAAATAATAAAATTGTAAATATATTATTAATTACATAAAAATTAACAATAAATGTTACTAAGCATAAATATTTGTTTCATATATTTTTCAAGGTTTTTTTTATAATTATTATGTATCTATCTGTAATGAAAGGTTTATAAATATTGATCTTATCGCTAATCAAATGACAAATAAAAAACTATATTATTATAAATTACTATAATCAATTTATTAAATTTCATTTGTAATTCATATTTTAGCACAATACACAATTTCATTTACATATATGTATTAATCATTTTATACATTTACATTCAATCTCATACAATAAATAAATCTATGGTAATTGCCAAATAAAATACTAACTATATTTTGTAATATATTTATAATCTTTGATACGTAAGAAAGATTTAATTCAACAAGTTTCGTTAATCGATTTTTTCATATGTAGCCATAAAACATAACGTAGCCATAGAAATATCACTGCCAATTGCTCTGCATATCAATCAAATATCAAGTTAAAGAGTCAAATTATTACAAATTAGTAGGTACTCAATTATAAAACCAAACATGTAGTTTGTAAACATGAACACTAATATGGATAACATTTCTTAATATATTAAGAAAAAAAACTTTTAAGCCATCTTTTGCAATTACCATAGATAACGATGACAATTTTTTAATAGTACTAAAATAAAATCATTAGTTTAGCTTCTATGGCAGTGAATGTTTTTTTAAGGCAAAAAATTACAGAAAGTCAGGACAACTTGTTTGAATTAATTCGGTTAGGTATATCGATATTTCGATTGCGTATTATTTTACAATAAATTGTAAATGTATTATTCGATCGTTATTTTACAATGTAATTCTCGCATAATGGACTAGATATTGAACGCATTAAAATACTTTTTCTTAATCGCAATACTAACATACATACAGCACAAATTTTAGTTCCATAGTATTTCAGCTAAGATGTTTAGTGTGGAAGCTTCTTCGAGTTTGCGATTTCTTTTCTTTAGATATTTTGTACTCACGTCTACAAGAACTGTTTAGTAAATCTAATATTGTATTGACTTTCTCAACAATTTCCTTAGCTGTTTCGTGATCACTTTCAAAATCATGATATTTGTAGGTTGTGTGCAAATGAGAGTATCCTGCATGTTCTGAAATATTTAAAATACTAAGTTAAATAACCCAGGAATTGATGAAAAACTGGGATAAGGCAGTGGGCAAGGAAGTCGAGGAAGATATTTAACACAACAATAAGGCTCCTATTCTAACTAACCTTCAGCAAGTAAAATAATTGATTTATTAATGCACGCATTTAGATGTGAGCTTGAAATCCAAATTGTTTTGTATAAAGATTGTTCTAAATTTCAAATTTGGAGAAGAGGGCTGGATGGTATTTAACGTGTGAACTTCTAACACGCCGGTAATTACCTACCATTTACGGTTTTTTTTTTTATTTGCAGGTTTGATTTTTACATAACATTCCTTCGTTATTCGTGAATACGTCCTAAGTTTTAGTTTAATAGTAAGGAGTAGTTTAGTTGTGCCCCTCATCTGCCCAAAATGGCTATTAAAATGTGCGGAATTCGCGTGATGTGTGTGATTGTGATGTCTATGGGCTACAGAAATTATTCAATATTAGCTGGGCCATGAGCTTGTAAACCCATCATACGAGTTACCTACGAGAGTGGCACCGAAAAGTTTTAGATTATAAAAAAAAAGTGCGGCGGTAATTTTTTGTTTTTTTTTTTAAATTTATAAAATTAATCTCAAGATATTGCTAATGAATATACAACCGCTCTAAAAAGCAGTGGACCCACTCTTCTGTAAGGGCCTTCTAAAAAGGTTATTATGTACCATTATTAGACATTGAGAAAACACAAAGAGTAAAAAATACAACCGTTTTTCTAGATTTTGCCAGAAGTTGTCTTTTTTGTGTGGTGGTAAAAAAGAAATGTACAATTTAGCATTTACTCCATTTGTTGTATACTAATATCTATTATTTCTAATTGATTGCAATTCAAACTGCAGCAATAGCAAAGTTCATAGTATGATTTTACTCTTTATACTTTACCTGATGCGTTTTTATCTGAGACTGAATTATTTTTCTGACTTGGCGAGTAAACTATTCTGAATGTAGTCCTGTATCCTCGCGTTTCAAGGATTTGACACCAAGCTACAGACTCTATGCTGTGTAAAAAATATTTTGACCTAGAATTTGACTGAAAAGCCCAAAAAATATATGTGAATATACTTTGAATTTAATAACAGATCTACTTATTCTATTGTATTGTATGTCTATGCTCTACATATTCTATTGTTATTATTGCAGGGAAGATTTCTGCCATGATACTGTGGGGATGGTTAAACGACAAAGGGAAGATCTTCCACCGAGCGGGTGATATTGCTCGGTAGACCGACGGTCCGAATGTTTTTGCTTGGAACTTGTATGTATATATGCGGTAGGCAGCGGCTTGGCTCTGCCCCTGGCATTGTTGAAGTCCATGTGACGGTAACCACTCACCACCAGGTGGGCCGTATGCTCGCCAGCATACAAGGGCAATCAAAAAAAATATATATATATATATATATGCAAGCTTATCTTGAAAATGTCGTAAGCGAGATTCAGGCATCTGTCAATTATCTTGCGTTGTATGATGGCTACCCGCCTCAATAACATCAATGGCAATTTTGGTTTCATCCTACATTCCTTTAATTAAATCCTTTAGTTTTTACAGTTGCAATAGTCTACTTTCTATTAAGTTTATGGCTCATTAAAACAAAGAAACATACTCGAGTATCATAGCTACTACTTACCCAAAATACATGTTTATGAGTAACTAAAGGTTCAATTTCTATTCTATCTAATGAGATGCCAAGTTGTACAGAAGTATTAGTTCGTACTTTCCTTAATAATTGCACTTTATATGATTTATACTGTGGTGCTTCTGTGGCCATTATATGACACTGAATCTTTTCTAGGTTTGCATCTTCACTGCTTTTTTTCTCTGAAAATTTAGATCCATTCATTTTACTTAATAACTATACTGAGACCTTCGAACTTATATCAAAAGGTGGGTGGCGCATTTACGTTGTAGATGTTTATGGGCTTCAGTTACCACTTAACACTAGGTGGGCTGTGATCTCGTCCAACCATCAAAGTAATAAAAAAAAAATGTGATTACTTAACTTTTTAAAGTTGACATATGGTCTTATCTATCAAACTGTAGCTTTTTCTAGAACAGCAAGAAGTTTATTGAAAGATTAATCAATTTAAACAAAATAAAAGAACAATATGCTAACCTTCATTAACAGCCCTTAATGCACTTATAACAGCTTCTGAAGTTTGACTTCCACCTGTATTGTGTCTAGATGGATTATTGTGACTTTGTCCAGAGTCTGTCATCTTGGGAAATAAATGAAACACATGACCGTCATCGGGCATTGGAATTGGAGGACTGTTAAATGATTTCTTGTTTTTTAACTCAATAAGTCCTAAACATGTGAACCCAAACTTTGAGCATGGTTCGTTGGCATCGAGGCATGGGAACGCCCAGTCAACTTCTCCATCATCTTCCGCTATACAAAGTCCATATTCATGCACAGAGCCAAGACTAATTTCAGGATGTTCAATGCTGTAATGAAAAATAATCTAAGTTTAACAGTCATGTGTTCTGGTATGAAGGATAGCTAAGCTTCATATATCACATAGGCTGGTGTCATATCGTTACGCCGGTAAGAGCAACGCCATCTATCGCCGAATAGCAAAAACGAATATCAAAAGAACTTGTAAAATCGAGACTACTCGAGAAGTACAATGCCATAAATTATCAAAGACTACTCAAAGCGAAACAGGGAATGGATTAGCTGAAGTGAAGCGGAAGAAGTGAATTACAAGTTGTAAAGTTTTCTGAGAATGTTCTAAGTGTTAAATACAGTTTTAGGTTTTACTTTGGTGGATATTTTATTTATCCCGAACCCCAGAGTGTAATAATATACAACTACACAATGAGCGAAAGCTCATTCACCCTACACATAACATACATCACACATAAAGAAAAAATAGAAATTATTTGCAATGTCACCTGTATTTATAGCATGTAAAACCAATCAAATCTTTGATCTTGGCACTAGCAATCACACACACAACTAATGGATAATTTTGATGTTTTTCTGAGAGCATCGTCATAAAGATCTTAAAGCATTTCGTTTGTAATCCTAGTTGTGCTGTGCCATCAAACTTTCCATACTCCAGATACTGACGATGAGGTAAATCTGGGCAGTTCTCTAGCTGCTGAGCCAATAATGACTTTTGTTTTTCTGGAGGTTTAACTTCGACTGTAGGGAATAACTCCATACATTGCTCCTTGCTCAGTGGTGATGAATCTTCCCACTTAATTACTTTAATTTTGGCTGCCTTTTTTAATGCCTGCTCCTTTTTGTCTAACCATTGTGATGTGTTTGATCTCTGCCTAGAACATACATTTTTTTGGTGAAATTTTCAGACATGGAAGGTTTTAACTTTTATTTTGAAATGTAGTTTTAATCTTCCCACTGTCCACCTGACTGGTGAAACACAATTGAAGTCTTGATTGTGATTGTGAGATCATGGTTTGTCAGTAAAATTCATAATTGCTTCACAACAGAAATCAGAGAGGTAGTGGAACAAAGTACCCTCTACTAGCAGGTAGCTATGACAACAATTAAGAAACAAGAGAAAAAAAGTTAAACTGTATCTTATGATTAATAGACAGACTTTTATAATTGAGATGCGGATCTGAATTAAGAGTTTCGTAGTTTTAATGAATTAGATGAACGACATTTCAAACCTGCAAGACAACATTAAACAATAAAATTTAAAAAATCTCAACTATACTCAACTCAACTATGTTGGACGTACCTGTAACCTCCAAACTCTTCATATCGAACATAGCTACTACCTAAGGGATCTTCATCTTCACTTTCATCAATATCAGGATATGGTTCAAATTGAGTGATAATTTCTCTTTCGAAATCTTCACAAGAGTCTCCACCTTCCCTTATTTTACTAGTTCCAGGCTGAAGCGCTCGAGCTTCTTTTATTCTTTTTTTTTCTTCTAAACCCTTAATCTGGAAGATCTTAGAAAAATCTTCACCTGCCATAACAATTTCACATAGGCCTGTGTCGTCAGTAGCTATGAAGGCATCTCTAATGTTTTTCAACAGCCAAATTTTGTTGTCGTATGTGGCCATTTTTTCTTAAATAAGATTCATATCCTCATAATGAAATATATAATAATAACGCATCATGCGCCACGGCCAAAACATGTTTTGCAAAATTTTGAAGTGATAGGTTTGATGTTTTGAATATTAAGTGTTTAATCTATGGTTTTGAATTTCGATTTAAACAGTTTTTTTTCATTTCATTTTCGGTCAAGGGCTACAAGACCTTACAGGCCATGTAGCATAATATGGACATAAATGACTTTTTGCTTTGCCCACTCTAATGTAAATTAATATGTCACTCTCACTATCATTTTTTTATTTAATTTATTTTTATTCTATAAAATACTTTATAGAAGTACTTTATCATTATTTTTTGTTGATGTTGTAGGCAGACGTGCATACTGCCCTTCCGATGGTTAGTGGTTATTGACGCTGACGAACGTTTACTATTCGATATGGAATAATATAGATACAGCCAAGTCGTTGCCTACTGCAAAATTTTCTAATCTAGGTAGTGTCTTGTGAGTTCGCGCGGGCAGGCACTAGCACCCTGCCTGCTTCTGCGGTGAAGCAGTAATGCATTTCGGTTAGTTAGAATAACCTTCGCCGCAATGTTTGGTCACCTGTTTTCTTCCAAAATATTGTCTGTCTATTTTTGTATTTCTTTGCCTATTTATCTGCACAAATGAAACAACACCTACCTATAAGTAATAAAAACATTAAAAACAACAACAGAAAAAAGCTCTTTATTTTAAACACATTCATTCAATAAACTTTATTAACTAGTTACATTTATCTGGATTTAAATATAGGATTATTAAATATTAATTTTGGTTAAATTTGAAACATTTTATTTAGGTAGACAAATTGTGGTAAGTAAATTATTTTTATATGTTGTGACCTAACTACATAGGCTTTAAGCTGTCCAAATTGCAACAATTCTATAAAATTTGAGTCATTAATGGATAGATTTTACGATATTTAAGATGGGTCAACGTTTCAACCCAATTAAAGAATATAGGTACCATTCAAATCGTTTCTTCCGCATGTAGTACTAGATGAGTGTGTCGTGTAATATTCGATGATAAATTCTGAAGATTATGTGCAATTATAACATATTAATCTGTTTTATTAACTTTTAAATAATATTATGTAAAATATATAATAACAAATATACACCACACTGTAGATGCTGTTGCTCACCATGAGATAGTACCAGAAGTAGTACTGGTAGCATAAACAATAAGTAGTTACGAGCTGTTTGAAAGGGATGTTGTGATTGAATAGGAATAATATGTATTATGCTTAAAAAAGAGACGTGAAATATGAAGCCTCAGTTGCATCGGACACTGAATAACCAACTTTTTTCGCAAATTGTACGTTTGCTTTGTAGAACAAGTAGGTCGTATGATGGTGCTCGGGCAGGCTTAAAATATATTCCATAATTATTAGATAGTATTGGAGGTTCAACCAAAGAGTTCATTTATGAAAGGTCATAGGGTTACAGTAAAAGCTCTAAGAGAGCGAAGTCCCTTAATGAATTAACTTAGGATCAATAATATTATTATAATAACAGTACACACACACCCCAACTAAAAAGACTCATGAAAACATTTAATTTTAAAAGGATTTCAATCAGCAAAATGTTGCCATTACAAAAAAATAATTTAAACATTTAATATATTTTAAATAATACTGTAGTTGCCCATGGACAGCAAACAGCGTCTCAAGTCTTGGACGCAATCATAGTATGACTTGTATGGTGGTGCTAATGTTGCATCATATAGCTTCAGTACTTCGGTGAACTTCTTTACTGCTTCACCATATTTGCCTTCATCCATAGCTGCTCGACCGAGGCGATAGAGCATTTCTGTATCCTGTTAGGAAAAAAAGGTTTTACATAATACTGATAGCCTAAACAGTAAGTAGTTATGATTGAACTGTTTAAAAAGGGATGTTGAGATTGATTAGGATAATATTATGCCTAAAAAAACAAGTTCTAATTATACAATTAAATAAACATACAGTTAACTTAAATGTTATATTGACAGATTTATTCAAGAAATTATTGATGCATCATGGCCGATGATGAGAATGGTAAGTTTTTATTTTATTACATAGATGAATGAGGAAGGGTGGTTCTATGTCTTTACCAGAACTTATAGACATCTGCACATGAAAACTGGAATAATGGAGCACATGAAATAAACAAAGTGGAGGTAGCCAGCTATTAGTGTGGGCTTGAGTTTTTGAATTTCTAAGTAAATATAAAAATAAATAGTACTGCCATCTCTTAGATGAATATGCACTTGTCGTATGTCGTATGTTGTATGTCGATAATCCCATTCTCTCGGATCGTTTGGAGCCTCTGGGTCTGCGGAGGGACTTCGGTTCCCTCTGTATTTTGTATCGTATGTTCCATGGGGAGTGCTCTGAAGAATTGTTCGAGATGATACCAGCATCTCGTTTTTACCATCGCACCGCCCGCCACCGGAGTAGAGTTCATCCATACTACCTGGAGTCACTGCGGTCATCCACAGTGCGTTTCCAGAGATCTTTTTTGCCACGTACCATCCGGCTATGGAATGAGCTCCCCTCCACGGTGTTTCCCGAGCGCTATGACATGTCCTTCTTCAAACGAGGCTTATGGAGAGTATTAAGCGGTAGGCAGCGGCTTGGCTCTGCCCCTGGCATTGCTGAAGTCCATGGGCGACGGTAACCACTCACCATCAGGTGGGCCGTATGCCCGTCTGCCTACAAAGGCAATAAAAAAAAAAAAAAAAACTTGGTGGCTATACCTAAGGATTAATGTCGCAATATGTTGCAGCCACCATTTAGTGCTAGACAACATAAAATGTATTTTATGAAAAGTATAATTTAATATTTAAAACAGCTTCCAATTAGGAAAGTAGACTTAAAGTTTCTCATCTTGATGAACATCTGCATTACAATCAAGTTGTGTTAAGCTATGCACCTTTTTTGGAATGGTTTGCAGTGTGCAACATAACAGCTTTCACACACATTGTAAATAGGGATAAACAACAGCAACCAAGAACCTCCTCCGTATTTGAAGTTGGTTTTTTATTTATTTTTATTTGCTTAGATGAGTGGACGAGCTCACAGCCCATCTGGTGTTAAGTGGTTACTGGAGCCCACAGACATCTACAGCGTAAATGTGCCAACCACCTTGAGATATAAGTTCTACCATTCAGACCGAAACGCATTACTGCTTCACGGCAGAAATAGTGGTACCTACCCGTGCGGACTCACAAGAGGTCCTACCGCCAGTAATTAAGCAAGTTATAATTTTGCGGGTTTAGTTATTATTACATGTTGTTATTCCTTCACCGTGGAAGTCAATCGTTAACATTTGTTGAGTATGTATTGGTTAAAGCTAATATATAACATTTCAGTTGTTGAAGAAGAGGCAGAAACACCTGCAGCTACAGAAAGTGAGTCAGCGATAACCCCTACTGAACTGGACAAACCATTGGCTCCACCTAAATATGAAGTGCGCCCTTCTTTGGGCGAAAAGTATGTAACCATTACTAAAATAATCTACACCAATTACTAAATGAAACAAGAAAATTAGAATGAATCCATAAATAAAAATTTAATAATTTCACCTTATAATCGCCATTGAAATTAAGATTTTTTTTAATTTCTCAAAAGAGACGCGATGCATATTATTTACATTACATTTTTTAAATACACTTTTATTAGGTTTTATAATACATTTTACAATAAAATCATTTTTTCTTACACTGTTTTTAATTCAAATTTATTTATAATTAATTCAAATCTATAAAAGCGTATTTTTTTTACTTTTTTTTTAAACTATTATTTATTTTGCGTACCTACTCCTAGTAACTTCAAGGGATTAGCTTCGCCGAACGCGTAGGCGAACTCATGGAGCTCAGCCTAGGCGACTTTGCTAATCCACCCTAGTAAGAGCTTACGGTGCTATAATTAAAACGACTTTTACGAATTTACTGGTGGTAGGACGTCTTGTGAGTCCGCCCGGGTAGGTACCACCATCCTGTTTCTTCCGTGAAGCAGTAATGCGTTTCGGTTCGAAGGGTGGGGCAGCCGTTATACTGTAAAAACTGAGACCTTAGAACATCCTAGTCTTAAGATAGGTGGCGGCATTTACATTGTAGATATGTATGTTCTCTGGTAACTGCTTAAAAGGAAGTGTGCCATGAGCTCGTTCAAAGCTAAGCAATAAAAAATAAAAGTTTTCATTAATTTTCATGTTTCGAATGCTATACAGTTTTTGATGATAACTGACTACCGAGCTATTATTCGATTTAATTTTGCGCTGACTATCGTCTTAAATTTCTTTCTATTCATTTTTTCTTTTTATGAAATTTAAATAAAAACATGAAATTACGAACAATAAACGAGAGATTAAACGGTTAATGCAGTTTTAAAATTTAGTCTATGACTCGCGAAAACTAAATGGAGCATTAGTCGTCCGATCCTCCTGATCCATTAACGGTGCTTTTAGGTACCATAAGCATCGCTCACCGCCCCCGCCGAACCCGTTGCGACGTAGGGCTCCACGAGTGAATTAACACATAGACACAACCCACTGAGTTTCTCGCCGGATCTTCTCAGTGGGTCGCGTTTTCGATCCGGTGGTAGATTCTGCGAAGCACTGCTCTTGCTAGGGCCAGTGTTAGCAACTCTCCCGTCTTGAGCCCCGAGAGCTCGGCTACACGTCAAGGAGAAGCTGAAATAGCCTCTCAAGGCTATCAGCATAAGTAGGAAAAGAACACTATATACGGTTTCATCTTATTTAATGGTTATCAGATTTCAGTCTCAAAATGTTCGCGAGATCATCGTAACGACAATGCAGGAACAGTTGATGGGTAGAAAGTATAGGTCGGATCAAGCGCCGCGATGGACAGAGGAAATCGCTAACAGAGTTCGACAAAGAGTTCAGGACTTGGATATGAAAAGGTAATAAGTACATGGACTATAGCTACTGGCTATGGCTATCTATGTTTATTAAAGATCATTTTAGCTCAAATTCTAATTTATTGTATTGTATCATATACAAATCACAATAAATTTGTTCTTATGAGTATGCGGGGTCTATGATCTTTCTGAGCATTCTCGCGTTGCTTTACATTTCAGCTTCAAATATGTTCATAATAGTATGCGGGGTCTATGATATTTCTGAGTGTTCTAGCGTTATGATCTTTCTGGGCGCTCTAGTTTGCTTTAAATCGCGGTTTCTTTTAATACCAACTTTGTAATGGATATTAATGCCGACGCTCACTTGGGACACGATTTAGGTCTTAGTGCTATTGTAATAAGGATCAACGTATCAGACGTAAAACTTATTTTCAACTGTGTAAATAAATAATCTTATCGTTAACATTGAAATAGTATTTATGGGTGGATGACTGTATTGTTTCTCTTTATTTTAATTTCCTTTCACAGGTACAAAATTTTGGTACAATGTATCATGATAGAAATGAAAGGCGCCGGGGTGAAATGCGCACAGCGGTGCATGTGGGATCCGGAAACGGATGACTATGTCGGCGATTTATTCAGAAATGAAACTATATATTGTTACACTGTTGCGTACGGCATATATATGTATTAAATAGATTTAAAAAAAAGAAAATTATATTATATATCGAACGATGAATAGCTATTTGGTTTTAGCGAAATTTTTGCAACTTTACAGGAGAGCCATTTATAGTATAATTTGGAAAAAATATCATAACAAAAAACTTCAGCTATTTATTTGAACTAGAGGTCCCGCAGTAATCGAGATTCGACTATAACTAATTGGAATTGTAAGTTTGTACACTATTATGATTGTATTTTATTCTTCTATAATCACAAATTTCGCCAAGGCTACACTATAAAAAAATATTAATAAAGACAAACAATATTTAATCTATTCTCAATTTGACCACAGACGTCAAGAACAAAAGTTTGACAATAAATAAATAGTATGCACGCGTGTGTGCGTCAAATACATGGTATGTAGTGTGTGTAATGTTTTCTTTATTGATTTAATGTATCTTTTATGCGTTATTCTAAAAAAATATTAGCATTGTGCACTTCTTCTCTATATTCTCTATAAGTGTGAATAAATTCATACTCCTCCGTCCGCGTAATTTTCGTAAAAAGGGATACAAAGTTTTTGCTTCACGTATTAATATATAGATAGATGGAGTAAGCTTAATTGAAGTTCAATTTAAAATATCGAACTGTTGATGCTAATACCAAAGAAAACGGGTCTTTAATTCAAAATATAAATGTCGCTTAAACCATATAACCTTTCCCTCCTCGATCTATTGAAGAAATCACGATAAATTTGACAATTTATCATAGCTTATAAACGCAGCTATGTTTTGCTGTGCTTTTGTCTGATATTAATAATATATAATGATATTTCTGTGTTTAAATCGGATATGGTTAACGATTTCAGAGGTTTTAATAATTGTTTTGTCGAAATCTGGATTGTGTTTCTAAAATATAAGTAACCTAAGCTATTCTTCATAACATTGAGTTATTTGCTAGCAAAAGTCCGGACATAAGCGGTCCAGCCGGAATAAACAGACCAGACAAGAAGAGATACATATTTTTAAAAGTACGGTTTATGTTATACCTGTTATATTGACAATAAAACAAGACACTTTAATTTTATTTATTTGTACACATTATGAAATATTCTAGTTCTGGTACATACGTAGTTTTTAATATTTTACAGATTTTGTATGTTATTTATTAATGTTTCTCTTTGGTACACAGAATTAACTCCCTCAGTATTTTTAGATACAATTTGTTTCAGATGCGTCGCTTAGTACAACTAACTAGTATAGTAACTATAGTAACTAGTACAACTAACTTGTGATTTGACTTAGTTAAAAATTTCAAAAAGATCCTAGCTAAGCGACGATTATGCAAACGAAATATTTAAAAAGTGAAAAGTAAAAATAAACTGTAGGTTAAAAAAGAACACGTTAATTTATCGCGATGAACGAAATTATGAAAGCAAAATGTAATATAAAAAAAGATAACATAAAAAGATTGGGAAGTCCTGTAGTGATATTTATAGGATTTAGTAACCACACAATATTAAGTGGGCTCTGAATTCCTCCTGTTCTTGACTATCCCCATTAATGGTAGTTAATAAAAATACAACTAAACCTCAAATAATCTCGAATATTTTTTATTGTGCCGTCATAGTTGCTCATGGACTTCAACAATGTCAGGGGCACAGTGAAATCGGTGTCCATGCTTATTCAAGCAAAGGGCATACGAAAAGAGTACTATTGTCTAATTTAAACTACTTTGATGCTTTGATTTAGTCCCAAAGACTTTGACGGGAACGCGAGGAGTGAAGTTGTGTGATTTGTTTTATTTTGTCTATTTAGTGTTTCTTTAGTTTTAAATGTGTAAAAACGGTGGTTTATTAACTGTTTAATATCTGTGAAAGTGGACCAAGGTGGGAAAATGGAATAAAGCCGCTGGACGTAGCTTCTCGGGATCCTCCAAAAAGTCCACTGAAAAAATCTCAGTAAATGTCCACCATTTTACTGAGATTATATTTCATCCCATATCATCTCATTTCATTTAATTTCATCCCAGTTGATTAATGTCTCAAATTAATCATTTTCATTTCATTTCATATTATCATTTTTCATACAAATGAGAATATATATTAAAATAAGACTCGACCTAAAGGTCTTAGTTACCAGGTCATAAAATCCCTTAAAATAATTAGTATCAAAAAAACAGTAAAGCATTCAAAATTATGGAGGGTAGAACTAATTCTATCCTCCATATTCGAAACGTCGGAAATAATGCAATGACCATAAAAACGCGGGAGATTAAAACGTAAAGTATTATTAATTATGTTCACGACCCGCCAAAGCCGGAGTAAATACATACTGTATCATTTTACTTGATGGTAAACGGTAATATCAATCGCAAACGTCATGATTACTTCGAGAACGATACACTAACTCATTATGGTCCGCGATAAGATTTAATTTACATACGTTATGGCATCTGGCCAGTACTCGAATATCAATTTAAGGATGAATCATAAACAACCAATAGTAATTTAAAAAATATATGTGAGATCAATTGGGGGATAGAAACCGGCTTAACCAAAACTATTACCGTCACAACTATTGGTACCTATTAGATCTTATAATTATTTTTCGGATTCTCACTAAGATTTTCATGTTTATATGAATTTATGGAAACTCGCTAAATAGTTAGCCGTGAAAGTTTAATCTAAATATATTTATAGAGTTAAATTTTCTATGGAACTTTTTGATAACTTTCATAGATTAGTGCTGTAGGATACCTTCTAGATTCTAGTCTACTTTACTATTAAATTCAATGGGGGTATGTGTGTCGGACTATAGTTATGGTAAGGAAACCCTGTTCGATACCAGATTTTTTTTTCCAACCTACCAATAACATCGTACGAAGGAAAACTGATGACAGTGTTAGTGATTTTTTATGGCTGTTGATAGGTATACTGGCTAACCGCAAACCATAATACATAAGTTCGAAGTTTCGTTAATATTGTGTTAATATAAATAATTATAGCGTTTTTTTTCCCTACCTATGCTGATAGCCTTGAGAGGCTATTTCAGCTTACCCTAGCGTGTGTAGGTGAGTTCACGGGGCTCAAACCAGAGAGTTGCTAACACTGACCCTAGCAAGAGCAGTGCTTCGCAGAATCTACCACCGGATCGGAAACGCGACCCACTGAGAAGATCCGGCGAGAAACTCAGTGGGCTGTGTCTGTAGGTTGACCATCATAGCGAAGGCCTCTTTTTTTTTTTTTTTTTCCACCGGAGAAAATCGCCGGATCCCCACCCGCGCGGCAGGTGGGGTATGTGGGAGTTGAACCTCACTAAAAACTCCTGCCGCTCACAACCGGCGCCCTACCTCGGACCGGGCCGGAGCCCAGTCGGGGCTATTGAAACGGCGGGACAGGGTTGACGCAGAGCACATTACATCCATCCCACCGTCCCACGGACGCCGGACCGGTGGCCGCCAGCGAAACGACCACCGGTTCCCTCGTTCAGCGGGCCGAGAGCCCGCTTTGATGGCGCCGCGTTACACCTTCCCCCAGAGCGGTCGGGGGAACGCGGTCTACCATCACCCGGCTTCCTATTGCGGGTGAGCGTGCAGAGCACGCCACCCCTCGTCTGGGTCTCTCCCCGCACAAAACGGGTGGGACCCCTAGCTCTTAGGGGGCCAGGTCACGGATACGACCCCGGTCCCGACCCCCTGCTCGGCGGCGGCGGGTTTCTGCGTAGTGAGGAGAGCTTTCCCTCACTCGCCCCGCCGCCTCCTTCTGCGAGATGGTGCACTCGCAGAAGTCGAGCATAGCCTTCCATGACTCATCGCTGCCAAGCATCGACGCCACGACGCCAGGCAGCGACAAGTCAGGTCCTATCTTTGCGACCAGGACACGGCGCTGCACCTCCCAAGCGGGGCAGACAGCGAGCGTATGCTCCGCCGTGTCCAGGTCGTGTCCACAATGGTGACACCTCGTCGTCGGCTCAGCCCCTATCCGGCGCAGGTACTTCCCGAAGCATCCGTGCCCGGTCAGCACCTGCACCAGACGAAAGGTGAGACGTCCCTCGCCACGATTCACCCAGTCATCAAAGACCGGGTAAACCGCCTCGACGGTCCGTAGCCCCCACGTGGGGTTGGCCAATCGCCTCGACCACGACTCGAGCACGGACCGCCGAGAATGGGCCTTCCGCGCCCGCAGCTCACTCTCGGGGACACGCGCCACGCCCCGAGCACGAAGCTCGCTGCGCCACCGATAGTCGGCAGCGAGCGACTCCGCCTCCAGCTCCCATGGCGGCGTCCCCGCCAAAACACACGCCGCCTCGAAGGAGACGGTGCGATATCCGCGGATGACCCTGATGGCAACGGTGCGCTGCGGCCGGCGCAGGAACCGAGCCATAGTGGCCCGGTTGCGCGGCTCAGCCCACACAGGTGCACCGTACAGGGCCATCGATCGCACCACCCCCGCGTAGAGACGGCGCACAACCTGATCCGGTCCCCCAATATTCGGGAGCAGCCGGCTCAAAGAACCGGCCGTCCCCATCAATCGGGGGACCAGCTCCGCAAAGTGAGCACGAAAAGCCCACCGGCTGTCCAACACGAGGCCGAGGTACTTCAACTGCACCCCGACCCCTATCCGGACGCCTCCAACCACGATGTGGGTGTCAACGGGTGGCGCCCTCCGCGGCCCGTGAAACCACAGAGCCTCGGATTTACTGAGCGCCACGTCGAGACCCAGCCTCCTTATCCTTCCGACGACGAGGGCCACTCCCGCTGTGGCGAGACGGGCAGACTCCCTATAATCATCCCCCCGGGCCATGACCAACGTGTCGTCCGCGTAACAAATAACGCCGAGGCCCGGGAGGAGGGCGCCCCTCAGCACCCAGTCGTACCCGATATTCCACAAGAGGGGGCCGAATAGCGAAGGCCTCAACTTGATTTTATATAAATCTGAAGCACTTGCGAGACTATAATAGGCAACAGTATTGAATACGGCTAAATGAAATCTTTATTATTTATTAAATTAATATTTTGACTATTCATTAATTTTTGCTCATTTATTGGAAATTATTCGAACACTGCCGCGTCACGGAAATTGTATTAAACTTTCAAAATATGTTTGTTGATCTATTTAGAATTCATTATTAAAAGTTTTGTTCTTTGTATAGAGTTGTTTGCTTTGTAATTTTCGAGAAGACACCATTTCCATATATTATACCGGACAAACTTTGAACTGGTGCTAATTTTAGTAAGATTTTCGATTTCTGGTTCTGAATATCACTTAAATTACGCGACAGTTTCAGAAAATTGTTGTGGGTTACAATTTTTAATTTAATGTTTGCAAGAAATACCATATTTAAATTTTAATGACTGATTCACTAAGATGCTAATAAACTTTCGTTATTTTGCACTTATTTTTGAATAATTGCTGAAATAACATATTATATCCTGATGTTTTATTCACTGGTAGTTTTAAGATGGAAATCGCCTTTTTTTTTCAAATAAAAAGCTAGTTAACTAAAATTTCCCTTAATCTGTCTCAATGATTATTTATTGGCTAGTGACCCTAATGGCTGAGAATTGTTACCCGAATCAAAATGCTTATAGTCTCTTATCGCCGAATGCAGATTCGTGCGGGCAGTCAGAGAACGACACGAAATATTCAATGTCGAAGTCAGTAAGCATTTGGTTGCCATTTCTAAAATCTTTAGCTGCTTTCAAACTACCCTATACTATAGTGCCATATAGTATAGCAGCCTATATTTAGCCAATAATATATAGTACCGTACAGTGTGAACGTGTCCATAACAATGTATGGTGTGCGATATTGTTGTGCTATGAGCTATATGCTATATTCATATATATGATATATGATATATTATATTATAGCGTAGTCTGAAAGCGGCTTAAAACAAGAGAAGTCCAGACTACTGTAACGGAACCCGGATTCCTGGTCGCAGTAAATATCCTTGTGAAAGATATTTGGTATTATATTTAGTGTGTCAGTATATACGTTCTGTGTGCTTAGTGCGAGTTTTTTAACGTTCTCGATAGCGTAAAAGTTAACCCAATTTTGTATGCAGTTGGAACAGCGCCCCTAACGGCAAACGTTGGCAAACGATCCCATTCCATACAAATATGAGCTAACTTTTACGCTATCGAGAACGTTAAAAAACTCGCATTAAGCACACTGGTCGTGTAATGTGTTTTCGGCAACAATAATCGAGCAAACGTGAGTAGTTCATTTAGGAAAAATACCTGTAGGGACTTTAGTCCCTTCAGTATGTTGGTGTACTGCTGGCATAAACCACACTGGATCATGAATTCGGTGCAATCGTACGGAACAGCCACCACGTTCGGGCAAGGATTGTCGGAGTCGCACCTAAACGTGAAAATTGCACAATTAATAATGAATGAAAATGTTATGTTATCTATATGTTTACTATACTTGAAACCTTAGAACTTGTATCTCAAGGTGGGTGGCGCATTTACGTTGTGGATGTCTATGGGCTCCAGTAACCACTTAACCCCAGGTGGGCTGTGAGCTTGTCCACCCACCTAAGCAATAAAAAAAAAGTCGAAAAAATTCCACTGCCGGACGTACGGTATTCAGCAAGGTTTGCCACAACGATTGGCTACGGCGACATTCATCAGGTTGCTATTATAAATTCGATTATTCCTTGGGTGATTTTTCTGGTAATTCGAAAATCTAACACATGTTTATGTATGTTATGTAACACATGTAGAGTGAGTCACTTCCAAAATATTATTGATTTGGTGCAACGTCTGGATCATTAATTAAATAGCCATTAAATAATAAGCGATTAAAAATAAAAGTTGTGTTTTCAAACGTGAACTCTGCTCACCTTTTGAGGAAATATACTCAAATAAAATATTATTATAAAATAATATATGTAAATAAACAGTTATCCTTACTTGAATCTCATGTAATTCTCGGTCATCTCATCGTACAAAGGCCAGTTTTCCTTGCACGGTATGCATTCGCAGTCAAACCAGTACCGGTCTTTGAGTTCCATTTGTCTCTTCTCCTTGGGCACGGTCGTGAATATTGGACCGTAGTTTTCGCAGACTTCCTCACCTTTTTTGATATTTTTGACGGCACGAACTACGATGTGTGAGCCATAGAAATATCTGTCGAAAAATTATGGACTTAAGGTAACTTATACAAGACCACATTGCGCTTTCCTTAGGTAATCTCCATCTCTAATCTATAAGGTTACGTGGATATAATATTTAAAGTTTACAACATTTTAAAATTTTATTATTTTAAATATTACATAACAGAACTAACAACAAAAGTCAATAAGAAATGTAAATCGAAGTTAAGTTATTATGTACCTTACAACGCCTGGTTCACAGGAGTGATTGAACAGGGCGAGTGTCGGGAAAACGGCTCCGGCTAAAAACACTGATTTTCCGTCATGTTTTATAATATTCTTATCAACTTTCGGCTTAGGTACTTGAAGTTCAAACACTTCGTGCGCATTGAATTGTAGAACCTGAAGATTCCTCAACAAGTAGCCACCTATCAATTCTACGTCACCCTGGTATTTTTCGTTAACCGCCATTGAATTCAGTTCCACCATTTCTATCGGCTTCGTTCTTGGTTTTCCGTCAAAATAACCGGTCAATTCTAAGACCTTGATCAGGAATACTACCATCTCTGTTCTGTGCAAAAAGTCTTGCTTGCATCTTTTTTCTTCGTGCGTTGTTAAATTGTAAATGTTTCTGTAGTCTTCCGTCTTGTATGCACCCAACTGGGGCTTCAAATCATTGCTGATGCTCAAAAAGTAATCCTTTTTGTTTTGCGTGATCATTCTCAAAGCGATTTGGCATGTGATAGAACATCCAGATTTCCATATCAATGGAAGTATTTGACATTCGTAACCGTGATATGATTTTAAAGCGGTTTCTAGGCATTTGTCGCTGCAGAATATTACGTTCGGACACTTTGGGCACGGTAGTGATATAGGACACCTAAAAATTTAAGGATTAATTTTTATTTCAAATTGTATGCTGTTCAATAAAAAGTGTGTAACCTATTATGATTTGCGAAAAAAAATTGGATTGATGGCTACATTCATATATTTTTCTAGTATTCGTTTTACTACGAGTATCAAGAAGTTCACATTCAACTTTTTTGTGCCTAAATGATCTAGTGACCTTCTACGTGACCTACAATATCAAGGGTGCTCCCGAATATACATGAGGTAAAATTTTCTATGCCATTGGATTATCATGATTTCTTAAGTTGCCTTTAAACAGGAATATTGACATGATTGCTTCATGTTCAAATATGCCATATTAAAATATACCTAATAATTTATATATAGGTACTCGTATAAGTAATATTCTCACTTAAGGAAGCAATTTTGACAATGTGTCTTCGAGAATTCAGCCAAAAGAACTCCACTGTGCGCTTTCTCAATAAGCAAAACTTCTCCAGCACTGATATCCCTTGTTGCAGTAGCGTATCTTCCTTTAACGTCGTCAGTATCTATTGTTATCGCTTCAGAAGCCGCCGGGAACTTGGAGTTATGCTTTCCTGCTAATTTTGGTTTTGGAGGAATCTTATTTAAAGGTTCTGGATCGCTTGGATTCCCAGCGAGAACTAGTCCCTTGTTCAAAATTTCCAACATGATCTTAGCATCTGTCCGCATTTTGGTTCTTTTCTCCTTTTCAAGTTTTGTTGCCTCATCTAAAGCACTTATAGTGTCTCTAAAAGAAATGAATAAATGTAGTAATGATAAATAAAATTATCAAATATTTGGTCTATGGCTTAGATTACTTACTGGAATGCAACAATTGATTCCCGGTTCCTTTTCAACGCCAACAAACTACGTGCTTTTCTTTCGTAAACTTTGTATCTGAGATGCCGAGGATATCCGAGGGACAAACATTTCTTTATATCGGCTAGGGCTTCCTCGTATTGCTGCAAATGGTTCAGAGCTGCCGATCGATTGGCGAAAACAATTGACAACTCTTCCGCTGTTGGCGTAACATGTGTGATTTAACGACTGTGTGGCGGTTTACAAATTCAAGTACAAATGAGGTCAAACTTTAAGATGGGTTTATTAACTATCGACGTCTGATGGGCATATGGCTAACCTCATTTCACAGAATTCACAATACCAGATACAACAAAATCGCCACCAGTTTAGCTTGCATAAGCAGGCGCTAAGGATAGTTGAACTATTGTTGTGGTGCCATGTAAACATGGCAATGAAGTCCACCCTGATGGCGGGTGATACGATTTTTTTTTAACCTACCCTACCTATTCGCTGGTAGCCTATGGGGCTATTCCAGCTTCGTGTGGCCGGAAAGGTGAGCTCACGAAGTTAACCCAAGAAGAAGAATTAGCTAACATCAGCCCTAGCAGGAGCAGTGCTCTGAAAAATTTACCTCCGGATCGGAATCGCGACCCACTGAGAAAAGCCGATGAGAAACTAAGTAGGCTGTGTCTGAGGGGGTGATGTGATGATAAAAACATCTTAAAGCAGTCTTCATAGAATATACGGTGCAAATCACATTGAGATTCAAAGTCCAAAGACCCTCTATAAATGAAAATCATATAAAAACGTAACGTGTTTTCCCGAATGTTCAGGGTCACATCTGCTGATGTGGATGATTAAGAAGTTCGCATAATCACTGTACGTGCAATTCAAACGAGGAAAAAAACATTTCCAGGTACGCATGACTTGTGTTTTATTTGAAGTAAATTTAAATTTATATAAAATTACCATAATCTAATGCAAGTTCAGAAACCTTTTTGTTTGTTTTCGTTTTAAATTTTAAGGAAGTTGTCCTAAAGTATCTTGTATTATTCATTTTGATAGCATTTGTTTTGGTAGCAAGCTTCTAGAAGAAAGCGTGCTAAAGAGGTTTGTTAGGTCTCTGCCCTCTTGCTGATTCGGACCCAAAGTATTCATGCATTCCGACTTGAACAGTTCTACTGTACGGTAATTATTATACCGACAATAAAACTGAGACTTCGACATATTATGGTCTCAAAGAGAAAAGACTAGTTGTCCACAAATGACAACAAAAAATATATATGTATTTTATTATGGTGTCTTTGAATTTAATGATAATATTATTTGAGGAAAACTTTAAGAACTTTGATAAGTTCCACGATAATGTAATTTATACTCACTTTCCTTTTCTGGCATATGCATCATACTTTGACTGTAAAATACCAAAGCCTTCACCCAATCACCCTTCTGGACCCATTGGTTCCCCGCGTCCTTTAATTGTAGAGCTTTGCTTAAAGATTTGTTTACAGGAAACTCGCCACCCGTTTTACATTTCACAACATCATCGGTGATATCGTACTTTTTTATAATCGGGAGACTGCACAGATACGAAACACGTTTAGAGTTCGATTCTAAATTGGCGAAATTATTTTTTGTGACTTCGTCTAATTCGTTGTTGATCGATTCGTGGAACTTCTTAAAGAAACCTTCGTTTTCTTCGGTCATTTTTTTATTTAATGAATACACATTTGCAGCGTGTAATCGAAGGAAATTATAGGTTAGCCAGCACAAGAAAGACGGTGCGCGCGAGAGACTGCTCCGATACTCTATTTATAAATTTAGAATGTTATGCTGTACGTCACATCAGACCGAACGTTTTGTGCGTTGGGCCAACTTATATAGGAAATTAAATTTGATATAACTTTTGCTGAATTAAATTTAATAAAAATCTACAGAAGGTGCTGTAAGCAATTATTTTTCGCCACATACCATCAGAGCAGAGTCCGTTAATTTTTTCTATAATATTTTTTATTTTTATGAATGAGTGATTACCTACTGGTGGCCCAGAGGCCTTACCAGTTTCACTAGAACAGGTGGGATTTGGTAACAACCGCCCGAGTGCCTCCGAAGGAGACCTCACAACTCAAAAACAGCTGCTTCGCGAATAAATCTACTACCGGATCGGAATTGCGACCCGCTGAGAAGATCTGGCGAGAAACTCAGCGGGCTGATGCGTGAGTTAGATTGTACATAGAACTCTTTGTCGAATTCGACGTGTATTTTGGAGTAAATTTCACATAGCTTCCGTATCTTCAAGGCGTGTTCTTCAAATGTGGTCTTAAAAATCGTTGCCCTGGCATCGGTGATGTCCGCGAGCGAAGGTGACCACTCACTATCAGGTCGTCTCCCTTAGTGTCAGTAAAAAATACATTTTATCGTAAACACGATGAATCATGCAATAAAGCAACTGTGTTAGTTCCACTATCATTGACCTTAGTTGGAATGTTCTGGAAAGATTCAATAGAATAAAAAAAAAACAGACAAAGCGCGCGAAATCGGTACTTGTTAAACTTTTTGTTCCATCGTGATAGAGAGGCAACACTAAATTCGTGAATTTAGTTTTGCTGAACTTCGTGAATTTAGTTTTGCTGCTCTGTGAATCTGTTGCAGCAAAGACCGAAGATTAACGTAAACTAATACATAGTAACGTCATTGAATTTGAAGATTCAAAATAAAATTTTCGTTAAATGATTTAATAATCTAAGGCATTATAGCGATTGTAGCCAGAACAAATTTCGTTAAATATCTAACCTTATTTATTTCAAGGATTTGATGATTTATATTAAGTACTCCTGTTTGAGCTGTAAGTATATTATCTCTCAGTAAGTCAGTGATGATCTTTATATAGGTAAATACTTACTATGTTACATACGTTGTGTATGTGTACAAAATTCATAGCCAACGTTACAGAGTAGATGCGTAAATATATCGTTAACACGCTGAGCACTCGTGAACTCAAATTTAACTCTATTTGTAGCCTTGAGTACCTGTGACTTCTTGCTTGAGAGGCATACCTTTATGACATATGACAGATATCGTAAAACGAGTCAGGACTTATATTACACTAGCTGTACCCGTTCGCTTCGCTGGGCATTTAAAATTAACAATATTATTTCTCACTCCCACAAAGATTCACATCATTAACGCCCCCGCAACTGGTGTAGGGAGTCCAACACTCATATAAATATTAGCCCATCCATTAACTAGGTACATGTATTTTCTACATGGCTACCAAGTTTCAAGTCAATCGGATGCATGATTCAGTAGTTATAACGGAACATCCGTAAAAACCACTGTAGATTTATATATTAGTATAGATTACACATACTTTTAGATTGCTATCGCTTTATAGTTTGTAGATACATATATCAAAGACAATAAGTTGCTAGCGATTTAAAAGTTAGGCGAGTCGAATCGATTCGTCACAGAGTCTTGTCCACTAAGATCCCTATTCCGAGAACCGCTAATGATTTCCAAGATACGGAGCTTTGTCGCCAAACAAATTTTCGACCATGACCAAGTTCTGAGTACAGGGAAACCGTTCATATATAAAATAAATATACATTTTACTGACAGACGAAATAAAGGTAATTAATTAATCAGCTGAGTTTTTTTTTCTTTCGATGTAATAACAATCTGCATTGTTTGGCAGCTGAGATATGCAGAAAAGATTGGTTTTCCCGTTCCCTAACAAAAAATTCTAAGAAATATTTGACGAACGCTTTTTTATTCTCCATGTTTTCTAGACCACACTAACATTAAAATATTGGAATATGGGTGAGGATCACATTCATCAAACATCTAAGGACGTTTGCTGGGAATGAATGGAATGCAATGCGAGCGAACTAAACATTTTACGATAGTTTTTTAATGCTAGGTATGATTAAAATTTTTATATACTTAACTATCAGCTCATACTAATTCTAAAATTCAAGAATCGAAATTACTTGATAACAATAAAAACGTAGGACAAACCACATAATTATCTACTCACGTCAGAGTTGGAATTGGAATCTTAAAGATTTTTCTAGAATCTGACGCAGATAATAGACTATCTTCATATATGTCGTCTTCCGAGAAACGTGGAAATGTTTAAGGCGGTTTAGATCGTTATTGTTGTTCATTATGTTATTAAATTAATAATTGCCATATAATCATTTCAACTGTGATGCAAGTGGACTATTATTCTTGGAGTTTGTATTGCAATTAGCAATAAAATGAATTTTCTGGTTTTGTTCGTCTCGATTTTTATGTTGTTTTATTCCATATCTTTTGCTACAAGATAAACATCACTTTCTTCACATTTATTATTGTAGTGTGCATTAGTTGAAACATTTGTGTGGTTAGTATTTTTTTAGTAGGTAGGTAATTCAAATTCAAAATGTATTTCATTAGTTTTTAAAAATACTTTAAATGTTATGGATATGTATCGATTGAAAAACGCACAGTCCAAAATGAGAAATTTACCTTTGATTGCTGTCTAAAAATTTTATTTTTAATCCACCAGCCTGTTTATTCATTTTTAAATTATCGGTTAAGTACCAGTACAAGATTTATAAGAAGCATGTCTTTTTTTTATGATTGAAGAATTATTGGTGGTCCGGAGGCTTTTCCAGTTTCACCAGAACAGGTGAGCGACCAAAGGCTCAGCCAGGAGGGGTGAGATTTGCTAAAAGCTACCCGAGCGCCTCCGAAGAAGACCTAACAACTCAAGAGCAGCTGCTTCGCGAATGAATCTACTACCGGATCGAATTCGCGACCCGCTGAGAAGATCCAGCGAGAAACTCAGCGGGCTTATGCATGGGTTAGGTTGCATGTCGAACCCTTTGCCGAGTTCGACGTGTACGGTTACAACGGGGTCCTTAAGCCTGATCAAAGAAGCAAGTCACCTTTTAAGAATGTATCTTTTCACAAGCGGTTAGGGATTTTCAATCATTGCATTCGGCTCCATACCTTTTGTGTTTCTTTTTTTATTGCTTAGGTTTGTGGACGAGCTCACGGGCCACCTGGTGTTAAACGTCTACCGGAGCCCGTAGACATCTACAACGTAAATGCCGCCACCTATCTTGAGATTTAAGTTCTAAGGCCTCTGAATAGTTACAACGGCTGCCCCATCTTTCAAACCGAAACGCATTACTGTTTCACGGCAGAAATAGGCAGGATAAGCTATTATTTTTTTTTATTTTTTTTTATTGCTTTTGTAGGCAGACGGGCATACGGCCCACCTGATGGTGAGTGGTTACCGTCGCCCATGGACTTCAGCAATGCCAGGGGCAGAGTCAAGCCGCTGCCTACCGCTTAATAATCTCCACAAGCCTCGTTTGAAGAAGGACATGTCATAGCGCTGGGGAAACACCGTGGAGGGGAGCTCATTCCATAGCCGGATGGTACGTGGCAAAAAAGATCTCTGGAAACGCACTGTGGATGACCGCAGTGGCTCCAGGTAGTATGGATGAACTCTACTCCGGTGGCGGGCGGTGCGATGGTAAAAAACGAGATGCTGGTATCATTTCGAACAATTCCTCAGAGCACTCCCCATGGAACATACGGTATAAAATACAGAGGGAACCGAAGTCCCTCCGCAGACCCAGAGGCTCCAAACGATCCGAGAGAATGGGATTATCGACAATCCGAACGGCCCTCCTCTGTATGGAGTCTAATGGAAGAAGCTGGTATTTGGGAGCCCCGGCCCAGAGATGGGAGCAGTACTCCATGCGAGGCCGGACTTTTGCTTTATAAAGCAAGTCTTTGTCCAGGCGTGAAGTACCGCTTCGCTCGTCCCGGTTTATAACATAATTGAGCCTTCCTAAAAATGATAAAACCACATGTATATTTAGGTAAGTTACACCTTAAGGAATCCTTGCAGATCCATTAACACAATTATTAAACGCCTGTAGCTCTAGAATTAAGAGCAGGTATAGGGGTTCTGGTAACCGTTTTTATTTTTCTGGCCGGGGGCCGAACATCCTACGAGGTTCTTTTGTAAACTTTGTATCTGAGATGCCGAGGATATCCGAGGGACAAACATTTCTTTATATCGGCTAGGGCTTCCTCGTATTGCTGCAAATGGTTCAGAGCTGCCGATCGATTGGCGAAAACAATTGACAACTCTTCCGCTGTTGGCGCAACATGTGTGATTTAACAACCGTGTGGCGGTTTACAAATTCAAGTACAAATAAGGTCAAAATTTTTATTTATTAATTGCTATCGACGTCTGATGGGCATATGGCCAACCTCATTTCACAGAATTCACAATACTAGATACCAAAAAATCGCCACCAGCTTAACTTGCATAAGCAGCCTGCTTACCAGCCAGCATACTTTAGGTTTTTATTGACTTAAGTAAAGGCTCGTAAAACTGAAATAAAAAAAAAAATGATTAGATTACTTAAGTATACCACCTCACATCTCTAATCATAATATTGTGTCTATGAGTTTCTTTGACCATCAAACATCAGATGAGTTCATGATAAGTAAGATTTGATCGTATTTTCCACTCAATTCGAGTTTTAACTAAATAGTGATAAGACTGAAAACTGCATAGCTAGCTTTCGATATTCGCGCCTAGCATTGTACTGCTATAAACTAGTGGTTCGTAAGAGATTTTTGTCCGAAAATTATAGCCAATTACGCGTTTACGAGGGACAGTGAAAAGTACCGCAAACAATTCGTTTCAACGATTTCTATGATTTGTTTAACAGCCGTTGAAACTCCATAAATCAGTGGTTAAAAGAGAATTAAAATAATTGTCTTTTAATGGTCAGCTGTAACCCAATGACATCGCGGCCGATACCGTCGCTCAAATTGAAACATCCTAGAAATCATTAAATAGTTATCTCATTATGAGCTTTCGCGGAATTCATTCTTCTAAAATAGTTTGACCTGCTTCGATACGTGTTAGGTAGGTACAGAAATTCTAGAATCTAGTCAGAAGACGACGGTCAAAGCAACTTTCTTATTTAGTAGATATATAGACTTGTTTCATTATCGCGACGATTTTTGAGCGCTTTTAGGAGAGTCTGCTGATGTTGCCCGGGTGGTGTTGCTAGTGTTCCGGAATACCACGCTGGGTAAAAACCAGCCTGTCGGAAGTCGACGCACCACCTTTCTTTTCCCTACCTAATCACTGGTAGCCTAAGAGGCCATTTCAGCTACGCCCGGACGGGTAGGTGAGCTCACGGGCTCAACCTGAGAGAATTTGCTAATACTAGCCCTAGCAGCTACGCAGAATCTACTTCCGGATCGGAATCGCGACCCACTGAGAAGTTTCGGCGAGAAACTCAGCGGGCTGTGTCTATGGGTTAATTCGCTCGTCGAAATTTTCGAAATCGAGTTTGACGAGGACGATGACCGGTGCTTGAGGGGTCTAAAAGCACCGAGAGTGAATCCGGGGGATCCGACAAGACATGTTTAGGGTGACGGCGGCTTTACGTTGCCATAGCCAATACACCACCAAGCGGGTTAGTCTTCAGTCGTCTCATAGTACGTCCGACGACGACAACGACATCCCAATCTCGTGGTGCGAG